ACTGGAGAGGACTTACTAGAATAGGAAAATTCAAGACTTCGTTCCAGATAATCTTTCCTCTCTTCGTCTGCGTAGTAACAGAAGTGCTCTTTGCTAAAGGGCCAACAGAAACCTTGCCGTACAGCTGATAATTATCTGGAACAGAGTCTCCGTCCATTATTAAGTGTTGACAACCAAATACATGAATGGACAAAACGCCAACCTTTAAATGTGAAAGTAAAAATTATGACATGTCCCTATTTTCCCGACATCTCTGCAGTACAGGTCTATTAATGCATATCGTGCATTCTTGTCTATGGTTTCGAGGCAATATCTAACATCAGTGGGATATTTAGAACTCGGTTTTGACAATGTCTCTGTTGCCATGGCAACATGAGCAACATGGCGAAGATTTAAAACTAACTTAATTTAGCCACAAAATTGTCTTTATCTGAAATTTCATATATCAATGCAACATGATGTTCTGCAACTAGCTACTATTGAGAAAATTTAATAAAATTCTTTACAGTGCGATTTTTTTAAAAGCGAAAATTTTATTACAAGACTTCCAGTGCAGAGATTTTTTTCTAATTTGAAAAAAAAATTAACAAAAATTAAAATTTGTGGTCAAAATTTGAACATACAGTAGGTTACCGATGAATATAATGAGTAAAATGCAATTCAAGTTATAAAAAACCCTCGTCTAACTTGCGAAATTCCGCTGACTAGTGAAAGATTGTACGCGGGCGCAGAACGAGCTTTCATCCAGCAAAATCGAGTGGCAATTATATTGATTTTAATCAATGAAAGCACAGAACCTCTAAGGTTGTTAGGTTGAAGCTAATTGAATCCTGCCGTTCAGTCAATCTATGAGTTGTAACAGCCTAACAGGTGGACGTGTTTTTTGTTTAGTTTTTCACTTTTGCTAAAAATGTGTTTTGTGATTAAACTGTTAACTGTGATTAAGTTGTATCAAACTGTGATATTTGTTCTGTTTAACTTTAATTTTGTAGAAACACGAAACTCGAAAGCATTTCTAAAGACTTTTAAACGTTTATTAAAAGTCTGTGTACAATTTAGCAAATATTTTACAGTTGACAGCGTATGTTTTAAAAAATTTTAAAAACATTGACATTGTCATTGTGTCATTGACATTGGTTCGTGGCTAGTTTTTTGGTCTAGCGTAGTAGTGATATTCGTATTACATGTAAAATTGCTGTATGGACTCGCAATTGATTTGGCACTCAAAACGAACGATTATTCAACCTTACGCTTTTTTTATTATACACTTTTCAGAAATAGCATTTTAAAAAAGTCAAAGCCCGGTCCATTTTTTATTTCTTTTGATCGCGCGGTTGCGTGAGATACAGTAGTCCACGTACAGTACTGGTCCCGCGAACATCCCTGCCACCTTTCGTATTTTTACACTCACTGAATGGGCCACTTGCCCTATAAGTTATAGCGATGCCCGCTATGCATGACGGGCATCGCTGTAAGGCAAGTGCCCCAATGAATATAATAATACTGACATATCATGCCAATCCATTGACAGTTGACTAATCAAAATAACTACTCATTTGTCTATTCAAGCATTACATATGGTGGCAACACCAATATTCCGGCTTGTCCATATTTTAAGTTTCAATACTTTTGAGTTTCAACTCGAAAATTCTTGATTTATTGTCCCTATAACACCGTGATTTCGTTTAATGTTAAATATTAATGAAATGAGGCACTAGCCCAGGCAGGAAAGAAAGTGCATGCCCTGATTTATTTTGCTGTTCTGGGACATACAGCAATAGACCGTTGCAATTAATAGATGATTCCAGCATAGTCTTTCAAAACATGGTTTGGAAACTCCGCTAAAGTCTTTGTTCTATCTTTTTGTTCGCGTTTATGCAGTTTTGTGCACGGGCAACGAACACATTGTATTTCAGTATAATGAACGAATCATCCAATAGCAACGTTAAATATTAAATATAAACCTAAAACAAAGGATGTGCACAGTGTAAAGGCGGATTTCCAGTCCTCGCACGAAGCTCCTCGCAGCTCGCTGCGAGTGCTTGCATCTAATTAAAATTAACTGTTTAGCATTGTGATTGGATGAAAGTGCTCATGCATCACTCGCAGGGAGCTGCGAGGAGCTTCGTGCGAGACTGGAAAACCGCCTTTAGGTACGGCTCAACATAAACACACAGCTCATTATAACCGCTTCGAAGTTTACTGACTTTCCAGACCATGTCTCGAAAGACTATGATTCCAGCTATACTGTAGACTAAATTTTGATCAAGGCAAGAAGAACCGGAAATCACCAACACCACAGCTAGAAAGAGCGTCTAAGAAGTTGAGTATTAAAACTTCAAAGATTGGTTGCTAAATGTTGTAAAATGAGGAAAATATAGCCCTGTGAAGTTCGCAATGCTGTGTTTCGTGAAGTTGTAATTTATACTAACTGTATACAGTATTATTTTGTGTTTGTATTACGTGCGGTAAAAATACCACTTTGGGCTGTCAATGGTTATAAATGGGGGGAGGTTGGCCCCCAGACCGCTTAAAAGATCCAAATTGTCCAGTTCATCACCTCCTCTGAGTACCTTCCCCCCTCCCCCGCTGACAAATTCTTAAAAGAGGCCTTGTCTAATTAATTATTATTGAGGGTTTGCCTAATGATAGTTGGTACTTACAGGCAAGTTTGCATTATGTTTTAAGAAAGCATCATCTCTATCATCTAGCAATAACGTCGGATTTGCTTCTGCTTCACCCTCATCTCCTTCAAAAAATACGAATCAGAATGTTAAATGGAGTCACGGAAATCGGCAGTTTGATGAACAAATTTCACTGTCCAGCCTAAATATCTGATATCTAGCCATATATGATGTTCGGTGCATCCCTACTTATGGCTTTGAAATGAAATAATATCATGTACCCCACAGAATGCATAAAAAGGTGACACAGAAAAATTTACAGAATATATATTAGATACAAATTTTCCCAGAAAGAACATGAAAGCCCCACTGGAAGGCTCTCTAATATGTCCATGCATTCTTTACACTTGTACCATTGATGTATTTTAACCCGCTGCTTGAAACCATGAAAGGTTCCCTTTTCTCAGGGATGGATCCAGCATGACAGTGGTGTAACTTTTGACCACTTGCCCTCAGGGCAAGTTGGTCATGAATATTAGTTGTCCTGAATAAAATTCACTAAAAAGCCAACAGACAATGCCACTGGGGTACTGCCTAGGTAGGGGTATAAATTAAAGGGACAACATGTCAACCCGTTCTCCCACTGCTCTGTATGGCTGCATGTTATACTGCCTCAAATCTATCAGCAGCTTTGGCCCACAAAAAACAAAATTTGAATCAAGTATGTACATGCACTATGTAAGAATTATCCAACAATGAAAACATAAACTTAAAGATGCCCAGCTTTTTGCGGCAAGGCAACTTGCAATCGGGCAAGCAAGATAAAACGTTTAATACTTGCCCGTCATGACATATTCACTTGCCCAGGACAAGTGTTAACACTTGCCCGGGACAAGTGTTTACTTAATTTATTTATGTTACACTTCTGCATGATCTGGTGGGGGGGGTGTATGCAGGGACGCCGGAAAGTTGATAATTGGGGGGGGGGGAGATATTCATATTATTCACATTCTGCATCATTTATTTCCTTTGAAAGCGATTGTTTTTACAGTCTGTGAACACAAATATATGAATATCTGCCCCCCAATTATCGACTTTCCGGCTTCCCTGGGTGTGTGCTCTGCCAGCTCTGGTGGCAAGTTGTGTCAGTCAAGTGCGCTGCCTGCCCACCAACATACAGCAGTACTTGCTTGACTACTGTATTTGAATTTGAATTGTTGTAGTGAAATTTCACATTTCAAAGTGGAAGCACTATCTTTATTTTAACACTTTGCATGAACATTTCGTACTTTGTTTGTGGCAAGCTACACAGTATCAATGCGAATATTTACTTTTTCATTGATATACTCAGGTTTTTTTGCCGATGTCCAACATTCTTTTGAAGCACAAATAAATGCTGCCGGAGTTGAACAAACTCCGGCTCCAGCAAAATAGGCCAAAACTCCGGCTCCGGTGCACAACACTAGATTGCTGTTCACAGTTAGCTTATCGTCATGTTATCAGTTATTACTGGTGCTCAAATTACCATCTCCCACTTGGTCTAGCTCTAATACTTTTTTCCTTTATCAGGAAAAATAGCAACCTCCCCTCCCTGCACCACCTCTGGCTTGGGCTAAGGGGGTGGTGGGGGGGGTTTGGAGTGAATCCATCCAACCATAATTGCCTTTTCTTGGCTCAGTCAAGCCTCAGTGCCCCTCAACTTTTGTGAGATGGTTTCTGGTCTCTGACCCCATTTAATTTTTACTACAGACTATAATATGCAAATTGCAATAATCAAGCTTTCTTTCTGGGTTGAGTCTGAACTACATGAAACAGATTAGAAATACCTTTGGCTAAAGACTAAGTGTTTAATATAATCTTTTTGGCCCGTTCTAATATAGTTCAAACACGACCTGACAATTCACAAAACCTGACAACCCTTCTTATAATTAACGTAATTTAGTGCTAGAATAATCCTTTACCATCAAGTAACAAGACACAAATTATGGTGATGATATTTCGACTCTAGTTCAGGGACATGGCCAAACCAAACTAATTATTTAATTTATTTTATACAAACATGCCCAGATCTTTTTATATAAGAAGTAGGAAGATCATTGATTCATTGACATGATTCGGAGTATGTTTTTTTCTTATATTAGTGCTATAAACTGTCACAAAGTACTTACCGAAGATACCTCCCTGACCCTCCATCACATCAAACCAACTTAAAGTGTTTTAAACATTTAAAAAGCGGCTACTAAGTCCCAAAATAGTAAAACTTTGCCATATTTTGTGAATCTAAAAATTAAAATTTAAAATTTTCGCGCCTTTGAGACCACGATACTTGCGTGCAGTGAACACACTCCGTAAATGATGCGCAGTGTTCTTTGCACATGGACAATGGTTTAAAAAAGAAAAATACATTTTCTCGACTATTCTCGTTGTTTTGGTTGAAAAGATTTAATATTAAAAACCGTCAATAAACATGTCTAAAGATGCTGGAATAAAGGACGCTCGGGAGAGTAATGAAGAGAAGAACGACTCTGCGAACTCAGAGTTGTCTAAAGCAGAACTCGAAAAATTAGCACTTGAAGAGTAGTTGAAGGTACAATGTGTCACAGTGTGCCTGTTGGCTAAATATTTGGCCTATAGGTGGGTTTCACTCGAGCCTTGTACATAGGGAAACGCTTGGTGGTTCACTTTAAACATATAGCCGCTTTATGCCTTGTGTAAGCAAGTAAATTTCATTAAATTGCATATACTTGATAGTTGATACCAAACACAAGATCAATACTTGTAATGAATATTTAAGATATAAACGAAGTGGCTATTCGGCCTTTTCGTACTGGAACAGTACAGACTGTCAGTACACCGAGTTTGATTTGCTATCTGTACTGCAGTCGGAATATTTAAGATAAACTGACCCCAAACCCTTCTCTAACCCTGACCAATAAATGTCTAATAAACTATTTGAGAGTATATCCACACCGGGCAAGCTTGAAAAATATGCCCGGCTATGGTAGGAGTCGAACCTATGACCATTGGAATGCTAGCCCAATGCTCTGCCAACTGAGTTACGCGGTAATGTCGGTTTGAGTAAATGATATTTTGGAACAGAATCTAGTTCCTTCGATACCAATCTAGTAATTATCACTTATTTACTGAGACAGAGGGAAACAGTGTGTTTTGTGGACCCGAGACCGTCGAGGGTCCACAAAACACACTAGAATGCTTTCCCGAGGTCTCAAGGTCGGTTCAAGTAAATGATATTTCGGAACAGAATCTAGTTCCTTTGATACCAATGTACAGTAATCTTTACTAGTAATATGATTTTTTTTCTGTGTTGGTGTTGTGTACTCATGTGAATATGATGTTTGTGATGTTACTCTGAGTGTGCATCCACACCGGGCAAGCTGGAAAGTTTGCTTGACCACGGTGGGAATCGAACCTACGGCCATTGAAATGCTCTGCCAACCGAGCTACGCGGTATGGTCGGTCCAAGTAATTGATATTTCGGAACAGAATGTAGTTCCTTTGATACCAATGTAATGTAGTAATATGATATTTTTTTCTGTGTTGGTGTTGTGAGCAGAGCATTGGGCTACTAGCAGCTAGTATTCCAAAGGTCGTGGGTTTGATTCCCACCGTGGCCGGGGATATTTTTCAAGCTCGCCCGATGTGGATATACAGTCACTCAGAGTAACATACAAACATCATATTCACCTGAGTACACAACACCAACACAGATAAAATCAAACTATTTGAGAGTTAAAAAAGAAACACATTTTTAAAATATTTTAAGAAAAATTTCTAAGTCAAATACGCTAGCGGCAAGCTCGCTGAAATCTGTTGCAAAAAACTATTTTAATTTTATTACTAATTTACGAAAACGTAAGAATCAGGTGCCATACTCCAGTACGAATAGCCACTTTGTTAAGATAAATGTGTTTCTAATTTGGAGTTGACCATGAAGCGCTAAACGTATCATGTGACTGAAACCCAGCTATATACTATAACGATCTGTGCCAGTGTAGGCAGTACCAGATGGATATGGATTCAACTACTGTACCTGAAAAATACAAATAAAACTTCGACGTTTCTGCCAATGTGCCTTGCAACCCATTAAGACCCGTTTCAGATGGCATCAGTTGGTCAAATAAGAACAAGAGTTGCATGAGAGTTGACTGACTATTACTGCACGCAGTGAAAATGCTCATTAAAATTTGAACCAGCTCAAAGTTGATGAGAGCTGCGACTCTCATCCACGCTGCAACAACACAAGAATGACAGTGATTCAAATGGCATACAAAATGATATCAATAATGTTTATATTGACAAGGTTGCGATTGGGCCGCATTCACGAGCAATTCCTAAATAAAAATCAAAACAAGATGGCTAATCTAATGCTAACAAATTTCAAAAAGTTGAGTGAGCAGTGTATGAATCAATGTCACTCCAATGTCGCATAATGCCACATCCTCCACCAAACTTGTTTCAAACTTTTGCCTCTGGCACTGCAGATTTTGCCGTACTGCAGTAAATTGATTCATACATCGCCCTTCTGCCATATCTAATTTGTCAATTAATTAAATTCAGCACATGAAAACTATGCCGTGTAAAATGGGCCTGAGTTGCAATGCGTCCAAATGCACCCAACTGTATTATTGTACTCTGTCTAATACCAGTACTCTTGTACTCTGTCTAATACCATTTTCACTTGCCAAAAGGAGAACCTTGTACTAATTTAATATTTTCATCCAGAATGCATTCCGGATAACTGCACCAGTTCACAGGGTGTACAAAATACGGCCCACTGATTGGCAAAGCTTGCAAGACCGAAGACATGAAAATTATAGCATAACACTCGTCACCTGAAGCTAGTCAATTTGTTTTTAGAGATTTTTTGAAAATAGAGTAATAGAGGACATAACAGTAGGTTACAGTAGACAATGGCTAAGGGAGTATGTGGGGATGCTCTCCCAGATAAGTTTTGATACTTTTGAAATCTTGAGTTTCTAAAATGGCATTCCCTGCATTCTGGAGACGATTTGAGATGCAGAAGCTGTAACAGTTTAATTTTGGTGGAAGGACAATAATTAATTTACAATAATCAATATTTTGGCTACAACTGCGCTGCTGGTTACTGTAGATGTGCAGAGTTCGAATTAGCAATGTGCAATTTGCATTTGTTTACATTTTGAGCTGTTATACTTGTTAAATATGATATTAATACTAACTGAATATCTAACACTTTTCTGGTTTCCTATGCTTGTAAATGAATATAAACTCTACGTTTCAATTCAAATTTCAAAACAGTTAGAAAATGCATAATTTGGGCAATGTGGGTCCCCCTTTGTTGTGAGCAGAACTGATGCGCAGAATGGACCTTACCACATCTGTAATGAACACCCATCCATATTTACATATAGATTTAAAAACAAAGCCAACCTGTTGTCTTTACTTATAAACTTAAAAACAAGTGCTTTTGCATGCACATTAGCAGCATGGAAGATATCAAATTTTAGCCACCATGACAGACAAACACATGATTGATATGTGTGTTACTGTGTATGTTAGGTTTGTACTGTATTTCAAAGATTGCAAACATGTTTAAAAAATATTCAAATAATTAAATTATTGCAGTTTGATTGATTATGTTTGAATGAGTACATGTAGCTAAGACAATCATGAACCAACCGGGTGTACCAAAAAAAGTACTCCGGTTTGATTTATAATAACTTCTAAACAAGTAAAGCTATCAAACAGAAATAACTTGCATTAAATAGAGGAAGGACTAACTTAGATTTTGATATATTACAGTTGTATTTTACTTAAAAATTCACGGAGATATTAATGTTCAAAATCGGGAGCATATTTTGGGATGTGTCTAAAATTAGCGAAAATCGGCATATCAAATATTAACTCCAGCGTTTGTTTGTTTAATGACATATCAGGCTAACTTGTATTTCAGCGAATTGTCGTCAGGGATTGTATAAGGATATGGCGTAGATTTAGACATCTTACATCTAAGCTCATTGTTTCCTGAAATATAAACGTTCGTATTATATTACGAAATATAAACGTAAAGTATTTAATAGGTCTTTAATACAAACTTAAAGGTACATGAAAGACCATTCAAGGCAGGCGCTTAAATTTTTCTTAAATAGCCTATAGTTTTTATGCTTTTCATGGAATATTGTGGGATGGAAAATTATTGATACTATTAGACAATATGGGGGGGGTGGCTAATTGGCATTCGATATTTTTCAGTACTGCAATAACCTACATTCGGTATTTCTGTGTTTTTAGACTTCAGATACTGTGGCATGTGAAACATGTAGGAATAGGTGTAAGCAGCAAAGAGCCTCATTTCGTTTTGGGAGTTGTGAGATCCCTTTCATCCACCAGAAAAAAAACTGAACCATCCATTGTTGAGAAAAATTATTACTGGATATTTCATTCAAGGTAACATAATTTCCTTACTTCTTAAGGTACAGTACGGCTGCGAGTAACATGACGCCACTTGCGTGTTACAGGTTTGCGAGTGGCGAACTCTATAAAAACTGGAACGATAACTCCAATGATTGGTATGATTGGGTGAAGCCGAGAGTGATCTCTTGTATGTATAAAATACGCGTGGGTTTCGCGGGAGCTGGTTTTTTTTTCAATTTTTGCACATAAATGCTCATTTTAATGGTTAGGTAAATACCTTACAGTACCTACAGTAAAAGCTAAAAATAGGTACGCTAAGCGTACATGTATCTGCTCATGGTGATTGCACTGTTGCCAAGGGCTTCAATCAACACTCAGTAGCTTGTAAGAAAAAAGCTCATGTTTAACAGTTGACCAGTTAAATAAAGTTAGATTTATGTTATGTCAGGTGAAAGAAAAATAGAATGGCTGATATATATTCAACTTGCAGAAACTAATTTCGGCCATAACTTCACAAAGATGATATTCAATTTTAAGTTCTTGTTGAATCATCTTAGTTTAATTTATAATATTCTTGCAGGGATGGATCCAGCATGATCTGTTAGGGGGAGGGGGGAGGGTACTCTGCCCGCTCTGGTGCCGAGTTGTGTCGGTCATGTGTGCCGCCCACCCATAAACTTGCTTCACTATTGCAAAGTCTTGCTTGACTACAGTATTTGAATTGTAATCGTTGTTCACAGTTCGCCTATCATCATATTATTACTCAAATTTCGATTCTGTATCTCATTTTGTCTCTAATAATTTTTTGCTTATTATGAAAAATAGGACCCCCTCTTGCACCCCCTCTGGCCAGGGCTAGGGCTTGTGTTCTTAAAACATTTCGGGTTCAAAATCTTCTTGATAGTTCATAATAAACTTTAGCAGACATGCGAGAACGTTGCATGTAGATGCATAGAAGTTGTCAGGATAACAGGTGATCCCAATATACATTTGCAGAGTTTGAAAGCCTTTTCATACCATAATTGATACATAACATCAAAATTTCTGCTGTTTATAATTGATCTATTTCATTTTAGAAAATGTCATAGTCAGGGTTGATGGCACACAAATCAACTGTTTATGCCTACAGTAGTAAATATATCAAATACAGTAGGTCATATATTGAAAGTCATTCATCAGCAACAAATGATGACAAGTATGGAAATTAGAAGTATAATCAATACATATAGTTCTTGAATAGAATGATATAATTCAGCATACCAGATCCATGCAATAATATTTTGTCGTGGAAGAAAATCCACTAAACAGAATATTATGTTAGTTTTGTACATTGTGTGCTATAAATAAGATCCCATTATGACATATGGTTGTTGTTGATTATAAGACAATACAGTATGGGATAGGTAAAGGGGGGTATAAATTGCTTGGCTGGTGTTCTTGGCAATGACATTCAGTTGCAGAAATCAGGGTGGATGAAGAAGGGAGCACCCCCTCCAGGATATATAGTTATATACTGCAAGTTGATAATTATGACTGGTTGCAACTGTTATTATAAGTATTGATATTCCAATCTAAAACTGAATCTCTACTCTTTATGCTGCCACTATTACTTTGGCTTTGCTTTAATGAAAGCAATTATTCAATGCACATACTGCTATAAAGTGCTTTAAGAGAAATGTTTCCAATGTGTGTGACTTAGCTTCTGACTCTGCTAAATTTGTATAAAAATGATCTATCAAAGTCTGTAATGAAAGCAGACACCAATTGTCTATAGTTATGAACATTGATAAAGAAATTATGTAACCTTACGAAATTATATAGCCTTCTATTGGTTTCATTCAACTAATATAATTTATATTAACTAAAGTCACCAATGAAAATGTTAAATTGAGAAGTACATAAACATCAACACTTACAACTCGATTTACAGCTACAACGGCAACATGTGGAAGAATCATTACTTTCATAGTTTGATAGTTTCATAACAGTATTCTCAATGCCATATTTGTCAATAATTTTCTTGTCAAAAATTGTGAATCATTTCGTTTCCACTGCGTATTAAATGATGAAACCCTTCAAATGCTTGCCAAAAATGCTCTATCGACATTTGCCATATTCAGACTAGTAAAATGACGTTGTTTTAAACTGCGTTTGATGTATAATTTTAATCGTAAATTCACAAATTGCCTTTTGTTTCACCGTTCAGTGAACCGCCATTTTGAAATTAGTAACATTACGTCATTTCATCTATACGCCGTCGTTGATTGGCTATGAGCACGCTTACAAACTTCAGGTACGCGCACGATGGCAATATATCTGCTTCGCAGATACAAAAAACTGAAAAAGAAGCATTTTTGTGTTTAGCTAATGGAAGGATGGATTTACTTGAGGTTTTTTTTTGGGTTGTTTTTTTTTCTGGGGGGGGGGTGTGATATTTTGGGTTAAATCTGAGGCAATTAACCAACAAGAAAATAAAGTATTGGACCTTCATGACCATATAGGCAACTTTGTTCACAGGCGGCCCAATCTCAGAATAATTAATCAGGTGTTGCGGGTTTTTAACGGTTTTTATAAACAAATTTATAGTCAACCAAAACTATTTTAAAAACATTCTTAAATTAGCCAAATAAATACATTTTAACAATTAAATATAGTTGACATGATAGTATAATACCTTTGCATTCTTTTAATTACTCCATGAGCTCATTTAGAGCTGTTGATGTAACATTTTCTGTGGCCTACATTGTGTGTGCTCATCTATATGTAATATAACAGTAAAAGGCTAATCACTGGCGGCACGACCGCATCGCCTTCAAAGTCAAATATCTCCGCTCAAACTGGTCGTACGCCAAAACTAATTCGATTACATCTTTTCACAAAGATTTCTCTTCCTAAATAATGTGGTTTGATCATAGTTTGGGCAAATTTAGCGACGAACGGAGCCAAAATATCCTCAATTTCGGATGCTGTTCAAAATACTTAGGGCTGCTCGGACACGATCGTGGACGTGAAGAAATCAATGCATACTGACAATAACGCCTTACCGCCTTACGTGGGGTGGGACAGCATAAAGCGACAAACTATCGTCGAATTTGATATAATGTCTCACCCCGGGCAAGGCGTTATTGTCAGTATGTATTGATTACGTCACGTCCACGATCGTGCCCGAGCAGCCCTAAGTATTTTGAACAGCATCCGAAATTGAGGATATTTAATTTTGGCTCCGTTCGTCGCTAAATATGCCCAAACTATGATCAAACTATATTATTTAGGAAGAGAAATCTTTGTGAAAAGATGTAATCGAATTAGTTTTGGCGTACGACAAGTTTGAGCGGAGATATTTGACTTTGAAGGCGATGCGGTCGTGCCGCCAGTGATTAGCCTTTTACTGTTATACAGGGTGTATCAAAAAAAACTGAACAGATTTGAAATTGCTTTCAATTTCGCAAAACACCTATTTGTATCTGTTTTTTTATATATATAGCTTCTTTGGGTACTTATAATGTAAAATAATGAAAAAAATTTCTCGAACTCAAATTTTGTGAACCAGGGGGGGGGTGTCTTTTCCAACAAACTAAAAATGGCTCGCGCACAAAATTTAAAAGCTGTAATCATATTTTGAGTTAATAGATTGAAAATTTGTCGGGTTTTTAATTACTGTACAAAATTTCAGACAATTTGGTTTAGTTTAAGTCCAAAAAGTCAGCCTTTCGCATGCTTAATTAATGCCTTTACCTAATTTGCATATTGCTGACATATGCAAATTAGGCAAATGCATTAATTAAGCATGCAAATAGCTGATTTTTCGGGAAAATTGTAACTTTGCGTGAATAGTTAAGGGGCTTAAACTAAACCAAATTGTCTGAAATTTTGTACAGTAATTAAAATCCCGACAAATTTTCCATCTATTAACTCAAAATATGATTGCAGCTTTTAAATTTTATGCGCGAGCCATTTATAGTTTGTTGGAAAAGACACACCCCCCTGGTTCACAAAATTTGAGTTCGAGAAATTTTTTTCATTATTTTACATTATAAGTACCCAAAGAAGCTATATATATAAAAACAAGATACAAATAGCTGTTTTGCGAAATTGAGAGCAATTTTAAATCTGTTCAGTTTTTTTTTATACACGCTGTATTATATATAGATGAGCACACACAATGTAGGCCACAGAAAATGTTACATCAACCGCTGTAAATGAGCTCATGGAGTAATTAAAAGAATGCAAACGTATTATACTATCATGTCAACTATATTTTATTGTTAAAATGTATTTATTTGACTAATTTAAGAATGTTTTTAAAATAGTTTTGGTTGACTATAAATTTGTTTATAAAAACCGTTAAAAACCCGCAACACCTGATTAATTATTCTGAGATTGGGCCGCCTGTGCTTTGTTTTGACATGCTTGGCTCCTTGAGCCTGTACGGTGTCCTTAATAATGATGCATCCTGCCTCAGTTGATGGTCAGGCCCTGCTTTATGACCAGCCCTTGTTCAGTAACCCCTCCTACCAAATCAAATTACATCCATCACTGATGTAATAAAAAAATTGGCAACTACAGGGTGTATCAAAAAAAAACTGAGCAGATTTAAAATTGCTCTCAATTTCGCAAAACACCTATTTGTAATGTAGAATAATGAGAAAAATTTCTCGAACTCAAATTTTGTGAACCAGGGGGTGTGTCTTTTCCAACAAACTAAAAATGGCTCGCGCACACAATTTAAAAGCTGTAATCATATTTTGAGTTAACAGATGTACAATCTGTCGGGATTTTAATTACTGTACAAAATTTCAGACAATTTCGTTTAGTTTAAGCCCCTTAACTATTCACGCAAAGTTACAATTTTCCCGAAAAATCAGCTATTGCATGCTTAATTAATGCATTTGCCTAATTTGCAGATGTCAGCAATATGCAAATTAGGTAAAGGCATTTATTAAGCATGCGAAAGGCTGACTTTTTAGAACAAAATGAATAGTTAAAGGGCTTAAACTAAACCAAAGTGTCTGAAATTTTGTACAGTAATTAAAAACCCGACAAATTTTCAATCTATTAACTCTAAATATGATTACAGCTTTTAAATTTTGTGCGCGAGCCATTTTTAGTTTGTTGGGAAGGACACCCCCCCCCCTGGTTCACAAAATTTGAGTTCGAGAAAATTTTTTCATTATTTTACATTATAGGTACCCAAAGAAGCTATATATGTAAAAAACAGATACAAATAGATGTTTTGCGAAATTGAGAGCAATTTCAAATCTGTTCAGTTTTTTTTAATACACCCTGTATAGGAGTAAAGT